ACTAACTTGTTTTATATTACAGTAGTTAACTTTCAAGAACGCTTGGTTATACGTGCTTTTATCGTGTATTATTTAGACCCTTAATTTTTTTTCTAATACACACATTTATAATACTTAACAAATATTTACTTGAAACATGATATATAACTTTTTTTATTCAAAAAACGTATGATTGAAACCTTTGGTGAAACTAATTAGTGTTGTAAATGAAACAGGGAGAATTCAGCCACATGTTTAAATTGGCAACTAGAGTTGAAAAGTATTTCCAACGGCGTTACATTACTAAACACAAATCGTAAAATTTGTACGACATCGTAACATCTTTAAGCCTAACATAATAAAATACTTGTATAATTAAAAAATGAAATAAATTTTGAGTAAACACTTCTTTTTTTAAACTATATTTGCTTTTTTCATTTATAAAGGTATAGACTATATATCGTAATTCTTAGTGATGTTATTGTTTGATGTTTTAAGCCTGAAGAAATTAAATAATATATATAAAAACAACATTGATCAATATAAAACTATTTTGGTGGGACATTTAAAATTTAATCTTACCGTAAATCAAGTGTTCTCATAACCGTTATGTTTTACAAAACACACACATGCACCGATTTGGAAAAGGTTAAATTACATGAGCGAACTTCTTTAAAACGAAATTGCTTTTTTCATCACGAAACTTCAAAGGAAATGAAAGAAGTCTCAGAACGAGTCAAATGTCAAACGTTTGCAATTATCTTCTGCCAGAATGTTATAAAATATACGACAAGGATCAAAAGAGAACCCTTTGACTACTGAACTCAGAGCTCAATCTGTTCCATCTACGTTTCGACAGTTTTGCATTTGACATTTAATTACGATACAATATTCTCTTTTATACATCTTTAAGTTATATAATTGGTTTGGATTCTGAATATGGACTATTATAGATCTCATTGAATAATGTGGGTAGTAGTACAATAGTAGTTTACAGCATATTTTAAGTTTTGTTTCGTTTTAATATGCTGATGTTGACTACATGTTTTTTTTTTATTTTGCTTTGAACTACAGCGCAAAATGTGCATCAAATGTACACATTTTGTTTGTAATACAAGAAATCATATATTAGTTTTGAAATTGATAGTTTTTTTTTTAAACCCCCTTGATAACTAAGGACAAAATTGGACTAAAAAATGCTATTACTTTTTTAAAATCATTTTTACAAAAAAGGTTGGCGACCTCTTTTAACCTTGCATTTACCCGTCAACATAGACTAAAGATCTGTGCGTGGAACGTATTCAGCAAAGCAAGGGGTGAACTGGTACAGTACGAAGGTGAACTGTACTGATAAATTTTAGTGGCAGTGTCTATAATCCGAACCCACGACATCACTGCCTTGGGCTCGAAGTCCGTGACGCTACCAACTGAGCCACCGACTCAACTCACCAACTTTATTTTTTTATATTTTCACTTACCAACTATCAATGATCGAAGGACTAAAAAGGGTTAATTTCTACCTGAAAGGTACTTCAACATAAGATACAAGGTATGACTTTGGTTGAGTTAATACGTAACACCATTGTAACATTTAATGATTGAGTCAATTTTTCAACTTTTCATGACTTTGAATTTAAACTACCAGTGCTACTAATGTGAGAGAACGGCCATTAGAAATCTATTAATTCTAAATCCAGAAAAATAACATCGGTGGGCCTGTTTTCTTATGGGAAACCTCACTCATGAAAGTCGAAAAGCGACGAAAATAGTTCATTAGTACTATAGGTAGATTTGAAAGTGGACACAAGGAAAGGAGGTTTCATTGAATTGTAAATATAAATATGAATATAAATAAATGAATATAAATATAAATTGTAAATATAAATATGGATATTTATTTTCGTATCCTTGGAAACTAACACAAATATTTCAGAACTATCATGCTTACAGCGAACAAAGCAAAACTGCTGTTGAACCAAAAACACAAATGTGCGAACGACAAAATCAAGAGAGGTTCGGTCAAGATTTTGAAGTAATGGATCCTTTCAAAAACCCGTGGACTCACACACTTCAACAAACCAATAGCCACCCTGCTCGGTAAGTTGTACAAATTGCCTGTTAGGTTGTATAGCTAATGCTGGTAACAATGTGTTTCCGCGTTATCCCTTTTGAAGAACCAAGGGGGGACAATACCCTTTCATTCAATTGTTCACTAGATTGCAGTATCTTAAAACTCATCAATATGTCTCAATTAAATATTAGAGTAAATATGGAAGTTCAGATATAAAATTATTGTAACAATGCTATATGTTTAGAAGGATTATTGGATGCAACTGAAGAAAACTAGAACCATTTCAAGGATAAGATGAAGAGGAACTCTGGATCTACCCCAGACCCCGGGCTCTGGACCCGTCGTTGGTCTTGAGGATCTCCAAACTCTTTTGGGACTTCACACCGGAGAGAGCCAAAAGATAAGTACATTATGTGTTTCTTTATTTATAAATTACTTTAAAATCTCAACATAATTTCACGCCGTCAACAAAATGGATACCATACAATGGACACCATACAATGGACACCATACAATGGACACCATTCAATGGATACCATTCAATGCATACCATACAATGGACACCATACAATGGACACCATACAATGGATACCATTCAATGGATACCATTCAATGGATACCATTCAATGGATACCATACAATGGATACCATACAATGGACACCATACAATGGATACCATAGAATGGACACCATGCAATGGACACCATACAATGGACACCATACAATGGACACAAAGCATACAAAGTAGCTGCGTCGTAGAAAAATACTAGTTCGTCAGTTATCCAGTTAGTTCTCATACTTTTCGACTCTGGTCGCTGGCAATGTGAAAGCTTCCAAACAGGAATTTGCTGCTACAAATCCGGAAGTTGTGCAATTGTCAGTGGCCAGGTATCCAGCATCGGGACCTTCAAGATAGTGATCTTAATAGTTTAATGTATTAACACTACAATACACATTACATGCAACATGTCTTATGTTGATTGTAAGTGTACACAGTACTAATAATTGTTTGATTTTTCCAGCCCATGGCGAGGAGAACAACCAATTCCATCGGATTTCGACCAACTTCCTGGGACTCTGTGAACGAAGACCAAGGATCACCTCGAAGGTTGTGATGAAAGCATGGTCTCAAGCAGCAAGCACGCACACATCAGATGAGTATCTACAGGCTGCTCCTCTGGACTTGGCAGTATTGCTTGGCTGCGATCTTCGTTCTTCACTACTAAGGCACTGGCTTGAGGAACTAGGACTTCCACTGAAACTAACAACCTGTTAAGAAGTCCCTGAAATACGATACAAAAGAAACCTCATATGCCTACTCACCTACAGGCCACTCCTCTAGACTTGGCAGTATTGCTTGGCTACGATCTCCGCTCTTCACTACTAAGGCACTGGCTTGAGGAACTAGGACTTCCACTGAAACTAACAACCTGTTAAGAAGTCCCTGAAATACGCTACAAAAGAAACTACAGATGCATACTCACCTACACACAGAGAGGCACAATCTTTATGGTACAAGTTCGCAAACATTGTATCTAATAAAGCATGTAAAAAACAAACTCTTATTGTTTACTTTTTTGGAGCTAAAATGTATTTGGGTACTAAATCAGGACCTTATTTTTATTTTAGTAGTACCATGAAAAATTTCAACAAGGAAATTACTTTATTTGGTTACATATTATCATAGACTAGGCAACGATTTATCTATGATATTATTCAGTACATTGGTTGGACCACCAACAAGAAGAGTTCTCATCTCATACCATTGTAAATTTTGAAACTCGTTTTCGTGTCTAGTTCATGTCTGGTGACCTTGATCGCTAGTGTCGCCGAAATTTTTTTTCTATTATTTTTGGGTTAATTTCATGATTTGTGCTTTACTGTTTGGTTGTATAACTAGTGGACGAGCTATTGTTTTGTTTCTTAATGACATGCTGATTGACAAGGCTTAACTCGCCTTTATTTTTGTCTACGATGTCCAGGACTCTTCAAAACACATAAGAAGAGCGAAGAGAACCAACTAGTCCAAGGAAACTAGCAATATTCAGCAGTCTGTGAAGAGATTGGGGGAAAGGACCCACCAAAAATAAATGGTGGATGGCTCTGTTGGAAACATAACATACTTTGGAAGTATGGTGGATCATTTTTGATTAAACCCTTAATTTAGGCATTTAGGTAAATTTTGTTTACTCTTGTTTTCGGTAGCCACTGAGAACTCGTTTAGTATAAATTTAGGTTTTACCGTTAATTGAAATAACTAAATCACTATTGGGCTTTTAGTAAATTGTCTAAAGTGTTGGTGTCCGTAGTCAGAGCCAGACAGGCGATAACTACATTCCACAATAATCATTAGTTCATATTCAGTTAAAAATTCTCAGGCAGGCACATGCCCTTGTCTTAAAGAAAATATATAATATTTATATACATTATATATCAACTTGTGAAACTCACAATGTTAAGGCCCTTCAAAAAGTACACCCAAATTTCTAAACCCTAAATGCAACCAACTGCTCTTAGGAAATTCTGAATTTGTTCACCAATTGGTACTTAAAAGCAAGTTCCCCTCAGGTCTAAACTTATAATGGTAAACAAAGTGATTCAACTCAGCTGAATTTAAATTTCCTTTTTGATCTGTTTTAATTTTTTCTCTTGTTTTTTTTTTCAATCACGTATTCTCATTCAAAATTCAGTTATTTGTAAATTGTTTACTTTCATATTTATTTTGTTCATTTTTACATGATAATTTTTTCTACTCTTTGCTTAAAAATGTTTGTATGGGCACTGGAAGATTAAAAGTAGCACTGTTTATTTTTCATAGTTCATAGTTCCCTACGAATCTAGAAATATATATGTATATGTAAAGATTGGCATGATTAGGTTAAAGAAACATAGGATATACAAGTAACAAAAATTTATATCAATAAATGTATGAACAGCTTGTCTTGTTATGTATTTACAAACGATATATTATACGCCTATAAATAACGATAATAAACATGATCACAATAGATCTTCAGTCAGATCTTTAAAAGATCAATACAATCATAAAGTTGCGATGTTATTAGCGATTTCCGCTTAGATGTAGCGTCCCAACGCATTGGAGAAATCGTACAGACAATCTAGGAGTTGAGAGAAGCTCGGGCGGTTCTCGGGCTCCAGAATCCAACAACATGTCATTATTTCAAAACTGAAACATCGAAAACAAAAAACCAATTAATTATGGTAATAATAATAGGCATCTCACAAAGAAAGAATATGAAGGATGGAGACAAGGCCCAGGTTTTTTGGTGCTGTTATATCTTACACAACAAGCACCAAGAATGCACTAAAAATATAATTTAATAAAATAATAATAACATTGTAACAATATTATAGATATATTATCATTAAATAAAAAAAAATGCAATATAAGAAGTTTTACTACTAAAGTTCCGCTATCTATTTTTACTAAACTTTTTATAAAGTTATGTTAATTCCAATAATTCTTTCTTTGGTTTAAATTTAAAGTGAAGTTTGAAAAACAAAAGTGTGAAAAATATAGTTAAATGGCGTCGTACAAACTACAGATAAAGTATTGATTAAAAAAATTTATTTTCATAAATTATACATGAAGAAGAATATGAGCAATACAGATTCTGAAATTAGGTCCCTGAAAAGCAAAGCGCGAATGCAGGGTCCGAGTCACAAAAATTATTACTTTTACAGACTTTGTAATTACAAGTCAATAGATATATGTGTTACATTGTATTGTATGTTACATAACACTATTAGTACTTTATCAATTACTTTTAGTTCTAATAGATAAATCACATCTATGTGATGGATTTACTTTGAGCGAGAGACTACTTGACGAACTGTCAACAAATAGTATCTATATAGGCCTAATAATAGAAACATTTTTCAATCCAAATAGGTCACTAGGTATTACTACTGCACGCAAAAAAGAACAGCCATATAAATAGAAAATATATAACAGTAATATGTCTGTTTCTCATAATAAAACAAAACAAAAATATATGGTTTTATTTTATAAACAAAATACACAGAGATACAATGTGTTTAACTGCATAGTGTAAATATTTAAAACTAAGTTGAAAATTATTCGTCTATTTAATTATTGCTCAGTCATATGACAGTTTGTATGTATAACAACGTACGTGTATGTACGTTTCATGTATAAATGGCTAGTATGGAATAGACTTTAATCAATGCTATATAAAGTACGAAGACGTACATGAATAACCATGCAATTTATGTTTTAGGTTAAACAATCAATACTCACAGCTGGTCTGGACAGTTTAAGGGTTGGGAAAGTCTGTAACCATCCCTCAGGTAGTCTGCCATCTCGAAAGGATCTACCTCCGAGTAAGGGTCTTGGGCCAGGGTGATCAACTCCCATAGAACCACCCCGAACGCCCACTGTAAAAATGGAAAATAAAAATCGCTTCAGCACAACGTCTGGTAACAATGTATTAGACTGTCAGCCTGCTGCGGTTACCGTGGTTACTATAGGTTCTGGCGCACACAGCTGGGAGCGCCATGTAGTTCCGTAGTGCGTACGCCGTAACCACATGGCGCTCCCAGCGGTCTGCGCCAGAACCTATGGTAACCGCAGCACTGCTGACATTTTATATTTAATTCTTGTTGTATATGGTATTAGTTACAACGTGGTTGACACCGACAAACACCACCATGAACTCTCATGACACCGCAAAAGCCTACGTAAGAAGATCTCAAATAAAATATTTAAACATACATAGGTAAGCATTGTCAAGCCTTCCTCTGCACTTTACTCTCTAAAACTAGTTGAACCTTTTAATCAAATAATCTTGTGTCGAACCTTTATTTTCATACAACCTTCCTATATACATTGGTAATATCGTGATTCTAAAGAATTAATTACCATAAACCGGTGGGGGTAAACATATTCCTTCAGTTTAGTCATTGTATGTTTTGTTATAAGTCTTTTTATCTTCAAAATCTTCACTTACCACATCAGATGCGGCTGAGAAAGACCTATGTACAAGTGCCTCGTAGGCTAGCCACTTGACTGGGCGATTCTCATTGTCTCCTAAGCAATGGTAGTCTGCTGGGTAGAGATCTCTGGAGAGTGCGCTGTCTGTAACCTTAACCTGAAGCTTCTCGTCAACCCTGCGGACAGTACAGTATAGTTATGTAAACAACTCATATTTGTACAATCTTATAAAACGAATTTGCATAGTAATTCTACTCTGTAGTTGGGGCAGCTCGTTATGTGGTGGAAGTAAACGACTTTAAATCCCAGCAAACACAGATGAGTTTGTTATGAGATAATGCCATGTTAAAGTGATTAGCAACCCAAAATAAATGTATATTCCTCCATAAATTTAAAGGAAGAGATTCTAGGTGGGGATAACTTTCTTTGAATAGGTTTGAATAGGTTGAATAGGCTCTCCCTGGAAAATCTGTTGGATACTTATGATATAAATGTCATCCTGTCACACATTTAGCACACAAGCTAAGGGTTAAATTAAAAGAAAAATTTAAGTATTAATGCAATACTGGGATAGGAAATAACACCGTATCTGTTATAGTCGCACACGTTCCTACGCTACCGCTTGTTATTGATTCAGATATTCAATCATTTGACTAACAACTTACTACTTACATACGTCAAAATATGTAACATTTGTCACATAAATATGTATCATTGTTTAAAAAAGTTTCTAACTGAAAATTAGTGGTTTTTTGGACAGGTTGATTTGGACAATTTAACAATGTGACAGTCTATATCAGATCACATAATAGTCCAAATTAAAACTGTTATTAGGAAACTTACACACAGTTTCTCGTTGCCAAGTCTCGATGCCAGATTCTCTGAGTGTGAAGGTAAACTGCAGCAGTGGCAACTTGAGTCGCCATCTCTACCAAGTCTTGGGTAATAATAGTGTAATGCTCACCACCCCTCGTTCTGCAGGAGCTCAGGAACCTGTCCGTGTCAAAGAACAAACCAGAACAATTATTGTTAACAGTTGATTGTGCTATTTAAGTAGCCATCTCCAGCAAGTCCTGGAAAACTTTATTATTTTTACTCAAATACTCCAGGTTGTGGTTTTGAAACAAAAATTAGTGCAGTATGACTGTTAAATTGATAAGAATATAGCTTTATATTGCCGAGTAAGACCAGCTGATTCAATAACCATTACCGATGAATGTTTAATTGTAAAGAATATCTAGAAAAGTTTCAAGTGGAAGTAGAAAAGTTCCATCTAAAAACCTATTATGTTTTCCCAGGACCAATAAAGCAACTTGGGGTTTAATGCTCACATTTTCTCGTTATCCAGGAACCTACCAATATTAATGAACAGGCCAAAACTCTTTTTAACAGTGGAAATGGTAATTTTGGTAGACATATATAATAGTTTCTGAGTTAATAGTGTATAATTAGATTTTTTTCGCTCCACAAGAACTTATGTCGAATTTACAGTTAATCAAGTGATTTAGTGGGTGTCTCTACTACTAATTATGTATTACTAAAAAAGGTATGATTTTAACTTCTATTATATTGCAGAATCCTATTCACATATTCTCAAATAGAATATTTTTTTTTACGCAGAGGATACGCGTCTGGTAACAGGACGTGGATTAGGCGTCCGGCAGTTACTGTCATAACCTAACCTAACCAACCAAACTTGCTGATAATGAAAAAAACAAATGAAGGTTCAATTCCCTTTATAACATAAAATTATAAATGCCAAAAATTCTAACAAAAGATGTACAGTTAAGAAGAAATTACATTCAAAGCAAAATCTGTGACAAAATTTAAAGTAACCAATGGGATTCGAATCAGGGACCTCTTGGATATCTTGGATATATATAAACCTTGGAATGATGGAAGTGGGCTTTGCTCCCTTTGTAATTTAAATCAAGATGAAACAGTATTTCATTTTGTAGCAGAATGTCCAATTTTAAAAAACATTAGATTTAAATGGTTGGGTAGACATTTCTTGGCTCAAGCTGAGTTTATTTCATATTTAAATGGGGAGGATTGGAGTTTTTTCTGTAAATTTTTAAGGGAGGCTTGGTTTTATAGATGGGATTTAATCCAAGAATTTAATTTTTAATACGACTCTCTGCTGCATATACCATACTTAGACGTTACTTATTTAATTGTTTTTTCCTTATGTATATATAAAAAAAAAATGTTTTTGTAAATGAAGTTCAAAGTGTATAAATTATTGTTTTTTCTTTTATATTACTGTAAAGTGGGAATTGTTTTTGTTTTTTTGTTAAGGAGAAGGTATGTATGTTGCCAACCAAACAGACGGTCAACATTGACCATTGTTTAGTAAGTGTTAGGTTTTTTATTTTTAGCAGTACCTTATGTATTTTATTTTATGTGCAAGCTAGTGTTGTATATGTTGTACATATATGGAGGTAGACTATTATGTAATTTGTACAATAAAGCACTTTTTCATTTCATTTCATTTCATTACATTCAAAGCAAAATCTGTGACAAAATTTAAAGTAACCGATGGGATTCGAATCAGGGACCTCTTGGATATCAGCCGAGCATTCTATCCACTACACCACGAACAACGCGAGCATCGTCGTATCGTTGCGGTAATGGCGTTCTGGGATCCCACAACCCGGTGACGTCACTACCGGACGCCTAATCCACGTCTGGTTACCGGACGCGTATCCTCTTTGTTTTTTTACAATAAACTAGTTAAATTATTCTATTTTAAAATGCTCATGATTAATTAAGCAGATTGCTCCGTTTCCAAAAATACATTTCAATCTTAGTAGCCTACCTTGGGACGATTTACAATTAAAATTATGAGTACTCATTCAACTTTATCTTCACACAAAATAGAGTAATAATAAAAGCAGAGGCTAAAGGATCACTGAACATTATTAAAACACGACTCGTATTAAATAAATTTATGTAAAAAACGTAAATAAAATGTTAAAGAACTTACAGACATTTATATATTTTTATGCAGTTTTACACAGTCAAAACCAACACGTTTATCTTGAATGCATGTTTTAATCTACTAATGAAGAAGGTAATCACTTTTAGTGTGGTAAACAAGTAGCTCGTCGCCAAGTGTTAATTATGCTGATGAACTCAATCAAGTTAATGATTTTTATAGTTAATTATATCAATCCTGACAGTGGTGTAATTAACACCTACCTAAAGTTTTATGAATCAGACTAAATAAAAAAATACTTGAATATTTTTATGCCATTTTTAGAGATGTCTGTTATGTAAGATAATCTTATTTATTTATTTTGTGATACGTATAGGTACATGGGAAAGTCACTTTAATGAAATTATAAACCTGCGCTAGTAAAATAAAACCAACATCAACTACAAATCACGTCTTAAATTAAAGCAATAGTTACATAAAAACTAATGAGTTGTCAGCTTTTTAAATAAAAATTGTATTTTCTGTGTAGGATATTTTTTTAGAACACCACCATATGCCTTTTGTTGATTCTTTTTTCTTGTTCTAAACGGTCCCATTATATTTATCGTCAATTTATTTGATTTCACAATATATTATTCAAATGAAAAAAGTGTGTTCATCGAATAAACATATCTAGCTAAAAATTGAAAATAACGAAATGCTTATGATGCTAATAGTGAGTGTGGATCTAAATGTAATCTCGGATAAAAAAAAATAAATAAGAACTAAACTGAGTACAGACTACCCTAATGCTAAGATTGTTTCTTATTATTAATCTTAAAAGTATAGTTTGCCTTAATAAATTGTGAAATCAGTTTTCTTACCAAAAGAAAAAGACTAAATCAAGCAAGAACAAAATTTCTTTCAAGAGTTTGACTGAGTTTATAATAAACCCTGGGGCAAAGTAAAATAAAACGAAAGGATAATGTTCTGGTGGTTTAAGTTTTAAAAAGTTTATTCAATTATAACTATGTAAGCCAGCCCCTCGATATTAAAGAACCACGAGGCAAGTGAAGTGGATATAATGAGACCAACTTGGTTAAACTTTGGTGGAGTTTTGCCGCTTTTTCCACTGTAAGCCCATTGTTTTCGTTCAAACTGTGGGGAGCTTGTTTTAATTTGGGCAGTATTTGTTTATTGTTATCCTTTTTAGTGTTCAACATACCCCCTGAATAGCTTTTCTGTTCAAACTCACTTACAACAATGTTTTACTGAGCAGTTTTTGTTCAGCAGAGTTTTATTATACCGTTTTATTATTCAGGGTATCTTTTGCACATGGTACTTATTTTAAACTCACTATCATAAAATTGTATTTTTAAGAAATTCATTTTAAGTAGCGCTTAAAAATGTGTTTTCACAATTTTTACAACAATTTTTTTACCTTTACTACATACAAATTATCACCACATATTGTGTAAAAGGTCTATAATCAATTTTCTTTTAAGTCTATGTTTGGATTGCATATTTGATATGGTTTGCTATGTCTCTCCTGAAAGCGTGACTATTCCTGATCCATAAATCTGTAACACGGAAATATTTTTTTTTATTGTATTCAATATGGACTGGTTATGTTAGGCAGTAGTTATTTTAAGTTCTTGACTGATTTTCAAATGGTCGCCGGTTCAATATTTAGGAAAACGAAGCCCAATACTGGATACAGCTCTATTTTATCATTGAGTCATTCCACTTTTGTCCTCTATAAAGAAATATCCGGTCTGTAATTCAATAACATTGTTCAATATAGTTTTACTGGAGTGTACCGCAGTAGAGTCGCACAAAAAATTGCTCAATGAATATTGTAACAGCTATTTCAAAGCTATTTGTACGTTTATTAAATTCCATAGACATATCGACTTATACTGTCTATTGCATGAGCTAAATACGTACCATTTTCATGCTGACTACTCCTCGTGCTGGTTTTTTACCACATTTTTACGCATCCCTCACTAGTTTGTATAGCTTGAAATAGCGACCTATTAGTGTGTCACTGTCTCTTCAAGAATCATCATTTTTTGGATCATGTTGGATATCTTGCAAGCATTTTTATTCACATTTCCTTCAAAAAAAATATAACGGTAGTTTTTCTCTAAGTCTTCGTTTCTTAAACTTCCTCTTAGAATATTTCCATGTATTCCTCTCAGTTTGCCATGTCTTCTTCATTTATTTTTAGCTTTTCCAGATCTCCCTTAACCCATTGAAAATGTATATATAGGTATATTATAATGTGTACACCAATTAGAATGAGATATATTTTATAATAATACATGTCAAATATTATTTGGATTATTTTCGGATTAAACGTACCTTTTTAAGTTGCCGTGTGCAGCTGAAGGATAGACCAGTAACGGTGGCAGACATGGATCTGTGTTGGCTGCCAAAACTGGCAAGATGTGTTTATGTATCAACCCGTACATTAGAGTTCCTTCTGACAGAAACATAGACACTTGTAGCATTGATGCTTCGTCTGGAAAATAACGCAATACACCATCAGTTCACTGCCAAAGTCCACAGAATATGATAAATAAATAAAGACTATTTGTCCTGCAATATTTATTAAGGCATTTTTAATATCCTACCTTTTACATACTACGCGTATGGTATTAATTACCAACTGTATATATCTGAAAATATAAGTGGCCAGGTTGTCTGTGAAAATTCTTTGAGATCTAGTCACGATAAGTAACGCTCTGAGGAAACTTTGGTCATGTCGTTAAAATCTCTGTAATCCGAGTCAGCACTGTTTTATCTGAATTTTAGTGTCATTGCCGACTTAAGCTGCATAATTAATTTCACATCTGGTATAAGTCAAAATCCCTATTCCTATGGGTCACATTTTGGTTTTGCTTTTTCAGTTAATAATTTAAGCTAATTATACATTTAGCAATTAAAAAATACCACATTATTAGTCAACATTATTTTAACGTGCGTATAAAAATCGATCCTTTAAGGGGCAATTTCTTTATGTCCCTTTTTAAAGACAAATTAGTATTAACTGAAATAAGAAAATGATCAGAGTATGACAATTTGTGAGTAAATCTCTTGCCTCCAGCGAGGTTTACATTGGGCCATAGGCTGCGTTTACATTGGAAGCACGCTTGGGCAAGTAAAATGGTAGCGCACGCTTGCACAAGCGTGCCGTGCCCGAAGTTGTGGTTATACTACGAGACGAGCAACCAAGCGCAAGTGCCACTAGTCTCAGCAGGACAGTGCAGTCAAAACTGACATGTCAGACGATCAGGATATTGTGCTAGAGAATGGAGTTGAAAAGTTTTTATTCTTATTAGACTCTAAACGAGTAAGGGGGGAATGGGTAAATTATTTTTTTTATGGATCGAGAAGAAGGAAGGGAGTATGCCCGGATTTTTGCTGATCTTCTGCAATAGCCAGATAAGTATATTTAATCACTAAAATCTGGTGGAAAAATACATTAATTACAATTATTAATTAGGCGATGGTCCCTGATTAGGCCCCTGGTTGTAGCCTGAAACTAATTTATCCTATATAATTGGTCTTCTTGCACGAACAGCATCAATCAACACCTCCGTATCCATGCTGAACAACTATAAACACTTTACCAAGAGACACAACCGATGCTACTGTGTCTATGAACCACAACAAACTGAGGCACGCTTGCTGAGACACTGGCTGTTACCTGAGACGGTTTTGACGATGACATCCTGAGAGTGTATCTCCCCCTCCCGGAGATAATTCCCTCTGTACACTCGGCCAAAGGTGCCTTCCTGGAGAAGCTTCTTGGTAAGGATGTTACGCCTTGGAACGTTCAACTTCCGCACTCTATCCGCGGGCTCCAGCTGAAAATGTAACACTGTTATGAAATAAATTCTCAAATTTTGAAACTCACCCTAAAGTGTGTAATTGATTTATAGATTGTCACACTACAGTTCCAAACTTCGTAACACATAATATATTTAAAACATCATGATATTATCTTTTATTTTTACAAAATGAATGTAGTTTATTACAAGAAAATTCAAAATAGTTTCCATCAACGTTATCACCTTTTTAGTTCAAAATTGATATTACAGTATTTTATTCACTTTTGCAAAACAATTTTTAGGTTAAATGGGTCTTGTTTGTAATCCTATACTTCTCTAAAACGTACTTTTTACCTTTGAGAATTTTAAGCTAGATGTAATGACAACTTATATGCTTAAAGAAATATCCCAAAGATTGTGTCTATGTTCTATATTTATTTACCTTTATTCAGGGTGATCGATATAAGTGTGCCAGCTATTTTATTTGAAAATTATAAGATAAAAAACTTTTTTAATTGTAACTGCCTTGGACTTAAAATTTTTTTTTTAGATAAAAATCAAATGCAGTCACAATTTAAGATTTTGTTATATCTCTTATAACTTTCGAATAAAATAACTGGCACACTTATATCAATTACCCTGTATACGTTTACAACATTCTTGCTTTTACAATCTTTTGTAAGGAAATAGCTACGATAGTCTTCATAATAAAAACCAGTTATAATGTTTCCACTGTTAGAATAGTAAATCAATTAACAAATTGGTAATTGGTAGAGGTATTCTACAAGTATTTTTATTTTAAGGAATGGTTTTCCTTTTAATTATACGAAATGTTTAAGATGTATTCCCGCTTTACTCTTTATCATTTACACAATATATTTTATATCAAACATATCCAACTTTCCCAACCAAACGCACCTGAGGCACTTGTATGAGGGGCGAAGATGCGTAGTAGGACACCCTAGAAGATCCTCTGGTGGACGCGGGCTTACAGTAGACATGGTGAGTGCTGCCATCAGTGGCTACGTAGCTGGTGGCGTAAGGGGAGGGGGTAGGAGTAAGTGGGGGTTTGTGGCAGCTGGCTATGGTAGCGTAGCTGCCGCTCAGCCCACTGTTGAGGCGGATGAACACATTAGGGTTCCCAGCGTAAGCACCACTTGTATAGCTTGTGCTGAAATACAAAATTGCTTGACTATACAATCTTACTATATCATACAATAGTTAAACTAACAAGAAAAAGAAATTGTTTAGTCCATGTAATAGTATATTACGTTATTATTCCTGAAAATAAGTGTTTACCGGACGAGTGTGGTTGTTCTTGTGCGAGACGAAGTCGAGTACGGGATTACCATACAAGTCCGGTACACACATTTTGGACGAGTTACGTACGATAGTTTACGCCATACTATTAAATCTGTACAAATCCTTATATATTTCCACCAACTAAAGGACTAAAGATCCCTAGTCATAACCTCTAAGAGAGGTTATGTTTTTGTTTATAACCACTCATTGCTACATAAATACGGTATAATCAGCTGATTGGTGTCCGGAAAAACTCATTGCAGAAGAGTAGTACGCAATGAAACCACTTTTGAATAAGCTGGTGTCAAACAGCTGTTTTCTGGTCTAAATCCTTGAATGGGAAGTTCGTCAAAATAATGTAGTGTGGCGTAAAATATAATTTGGTATTTTAGGCAGTTAGTTACGTGTTATACTCTTTTAAAATCAAGTAGAGCTGGGAAATTATTCAAAACTCGCATAAATTAGGCCCCTAAGCACTTGTAGGTCTGTGATTTACTGCAGATACTTTTTTATTAGTCATTCTAAACACCGATACTTATTATCCTCTATCATATTGATATTTATGTGTAAAAGAGAACCTTGGTAAACAGTATCGTTAATTATCAAAATATGCAATATTGAGTTTAATTGTTGAAATTCAAATCCAATCCTAAAAATTCTCTTACATGAAAATGCCGTTTATAGATATGCATTATCTGCAAAAGTAGTAAAGTATTTAGACTTTTAATAAAGCTTTTAGTTAATAAAAAATTAATAATTTGACTAATGTCCATTTACAATATGTGGGTTACAATTTTTTTTTTATGTAGGCTAAACCTTGTGCAAAACGTTTAATCGTAAAGTATGCCAACAAGACTTTCATCCGTTCAATAAGGCGCGAACCAGGAGTATTGGGATTAAGTCAAGAACAAAGAACTCTAAAACTATGCATTTAAATAGAGATATTAACCAAATGACTCTAGTAACCTAAGCCTTTGTGCGACGTAGACTAGTATTCCTCGAAAAGAAAATATTACCTTTCTTCGTTGTTTTAAACATATGTTTCCTTTTTAAATGCACATTTACTACCTATTATTCTAAGGTACAATGTTAGTAAGGTATGCATTACAATGTAAAAATCTAACTTAAACTTTACGGAAATGTTTGATGAGAATAGAATAAGAATACAAAAAAAGGGTACATATTCTACATACTACTTCTAATAAATCTTGTTTCAATGTGTGGGTTGGTCATATTATTAAAGTAAAATTTTTTTAAGTCGGAAGACCACCAATGGACCTGAAAGTATACAATTTCAAGTTAAAAATAAAATTATTAACATGCTAACAATCTAAACTTGTTAAATTTTGCAGCAAAAAAAGATACAACTAGTGTATAAAAATATCTACCGTTGATTTGTTAACCCCACTGTAAATTAACTATGATTTATAAAAAAATATGCTTTTCTCATTTGATACTACCGTGTTAATAGTAATAAAATACTACCATTATTATTTTTCTTAGCTAAATTTTAATTTTCAATGCTAGTTATGATTATTTTCACAGTTAATTTCTGTTATTAGTTTTTTGGTTTATCAAAGTTTAATATTTTTGGCATGACTCTCAGGGCAGTCTAGAGTAAATTAGTTTTGTGATCATAAGTAACGTCCTTTGTTCCTTTAACACCCAAGTTTTTCCAATTTTGGTAACAACACAATAACCTTTACCGATAATATTTATCCATCACCTCTATACAAGTGTCTACCTAAAAAAGGTACATCAAAAACCAAACAAACTCATCTTTAAGATCAATTCCCTCTTAAATCACTCTCAGTACATTAACGATTACTGTTACCACGTTTTTTACAACTGTATTCTTATCACGATACTCACGCTACCAAATAAGTACCATAGCCATAAATTTCACACAACTGAAAAAAAGTTACGTTTGACTCTTCTAGTGTCTAGACCGGAATCTAGGAGTAATGCTGTCGATGGGAGGCTAGGTCAGACGTCGGACAGAGAACTGACGTTACTACACTATTACTATAATCTTGTCATTCATACAAGTGAAATGTATACTCTAAAACAATCACAGCGATAGCACCAAATGTATATATATATATGTATATATATATATATACTCACTGCAGGCTATCCTGGGTGCGACTCTTGGTGTTCCTCACGTAGCTGAGGAAGGAGACGGCAATGACACACACACTGATGACGCAGGCGCAGGTGACAGCAACATAGAAGGTGGCGTTGGTAGAAGTAAGGGTGTCAGGGTCCAGGCGAATGGAGTCATTTCGTGGAGAAGGTTCAGTGTCGTAGTATTCTGTAAGGCGAGGTACAATTAAACCTTTTTTGGGAGTCTAGTGCTTAGAAGTAGTTACCTTTTATCCACTATGCCTGGGTAAAAATACCGTCATATTCTTATGAATTTTAGGTTTCTGACAATTCCTCGACCCATTGTTTTGGAATACACCTTTTAAATCAAACAGCAAACAACTATAACTCAACCATGGTTGAATCTTGAGTGGTTCAACTATCTATAAAACAACCAAATGTTTTTTTCAGGTAAGGTGCGAAACAATACACACTATATGATTTTATTCGGCTAAAATAAACTAGTGAATAGCAGATATACTGGGTAAGTAGGATTTAGGATTAATATTTTTAAATTATGCAGTATCTTAAAACGAAACAATCCTTAGTGAAAAAAATGAAACCATGTTCTTTTGTCATACAGGCAGGTTGACTATTATGTAGTCCAGATAATCCAATATAAGATCCAGGTAAAGTTATTGTAAACGAATTATGTTTGATAGTAAACGAATTGTTAAACTTTTATATTTGGGAAATCATGGAAACACAGTAACCTCATAGTCCTTTAGTTGACCGCAGTTTACCTCAAATCACTCACTAGGAGTGTGAAAACGAAGAAAGTCTTTTAAGCATGTTGAAATATCGTCATTTTATGTTGATTCGGATATAGTTTTATGATCAATAACGTACTATAACAAGTATACAAGACATTTTCATTTGATAAAAAAACAATTAAAAGGATATAAATGTAGTACACTAGATTCAAAAATACTAATATCTATTGACAAACCTCTCAGACAGATCTTGTTCCTCCTGAACAGTAAGGATGTGTCGTTCTGTATCCTACTGTAGGAGGTGACATTTAATTGTAGTATTATCTTCACCTCAGCACTCCGTATACCCGTACAAGGCAGGGAGACGCTGAATGTTTGTACCTGGAAATGTGCATAGATATAAGTTTTTTTCTTTCAATAGGCATGGTTTAGCCCCTGAGCTGAATTGATGACTATAATATAATTGTACAATTACCTCGTCACAGCTCCATAGTTTCCGTATATAATACGGCCGTTTCGGCATCAAAATGCCATCCTCAGATACACACATCCACCGGATTTGGCGTCGTCAAAATTTATACACACACTTAACACGATAACGAACATTTAAAACATAAAAAACGAAAGACAGGCCTGTCGCGCACATGATGAGTACGTGTACGGAAGATGACTGCTTTGCAGTACTCAATCCCATTAGTCACTCTGCAGTCAGCTTCCGTACACGTACTCATCATGTGCGCGACAGGCCTGTCTTTCGTTTTTTATGTTTTAAATGTTTTAAATGTTCGTTATCGTGTTAAGTGTGTGTATAAATTTTGACGACGCCAAATCCGGTGGATGTGTGTATCTGAGGATGGCATTTTGATGCCGAAACGGCCGTATTATATACGGAAACTATGGAGCTGTGACGAGGTAATTGTACAATTATATTATATTTCTTGCCTTTGCTTAACCTAAGATTTTTTACTGAGCAATAAATCATAAATTTAATGATGGATCTTGAGACAGCAGGTGACATGACCTGTATTTACCACAATGTGCTGTAAACGGCTAAGATAACACGTTTATTCTACAGAGTGTATATACAATAAGGTGTAGTAAGCTTATGTCCTATGTATCTATAGGTCTACTGCTTCAAAGCAAGGTGGATAACGTTGGATTGAGTACGAAAAATGGCCAGTGGAGAAAAAGCCTAGAGCTTTTATACATATAAATAGAGTTTTGATACATTCACCTTCACTTAAATGGTCTAAATGTCTGAAATTCAAGGACAGCTTTGGTGTCCTGCTATACATAACATTTCCTTCTTCAATCCCATTAAAAAAACCTACTGAACTCTACTAAAAAACAAGGAAATACAACTATAACATTACAATTTAAATTCACCTACTTACACATTGTAGATGGTTTACCTGTGTTGGTATGACGCCACGGGGAGTGATGTTAAACAGAGGTTCCAACATGGCGTCTCTATTGTTGTACTCCACCAACCACACGTATGGAAGCTACGAACCATAACACTAAATTAGCTGAACGCCAAACGCATCAAAGAAACAGGTGTTGTCAGAAGTTTTATTTTATTTTGGATTAACTCTTTGGTTACTAATTGATAGGAATTTTGGACGTACATTTTTTGTTGTAAGAGAAAGAATTAGTAATAATAAGTATAAGAGAATTTTTTTCCTGTGTGTATATGAAGAGGTATTGGATAATAAATCTCTACATTAACACCTTATGCTAGCTTGGGCGCTAATTTAATGATAAATATAAATTGAAGAGTAAGTTTTGAATACAGTGAGATTTAAAGAAAAACTTTGTTATTTACTTACCAGCTGTGTTAATTCTTTTTAAAACTAAAAGCATTTATTTAATGTTTAGTTAGCTGAATACTATGTGGACTACATATTATAAAATACCTCTAACATCTCTAAGTAAATTACTTGTATAAGTACCAGGCAAATTCAAGTTACTAAAAACATATTTTATTTATTACCCATTCATATCAGATTAATTATTAATTTTCATTTTTATTTAAGAAAAGAATGCTAATGGGAAAACTTTGCCCAAATATAGGTGTTGGAATTGCTATAACACTTTCCAGGCTCCAAAACTAAGCCCCAAAAGATCTTTGCACCAAACTTTGAACCGTAAAAAATGTGGTTCAAGCCTTATGAATTTTAAATGGTTTTGCCAGTAGTATGAACAAATCAAAAACCTTAAATTGCACCGATATTGTATTGCGAAAAGACCAGACGTAGAAACCAGAACCATAGACGCTTGGCGTAATAGTATCACTGAATGGTTTAGAGCAGACATCGTATATATTGAAGACTATTTAGACACAATAGAAGATTTATTTTTCCATTGAAAAGTTAAATTGGAAGGTGTAGGTATTGCTATAACCAGCTGATCTCTAGTTGTATTTCTTAACATAAATTAACAATAGGCTGAGATTGAGTGTAGATAAAGTGAGATGCCTGGTGTAACTGAGATTAGCTGGTTCTTTAGTAAAAAAAAAATACTAAACTCCCAATGACCAAACGCAGCCAGGCTCAGTTTTTTTAACATATCAAAAAGAAACTGCATTTATTCAGGATAGAATTGGCAGGCTTTTGATCATTGATTAATTACCTCACGATCGATAAAAAAGTATAATATATTGTATTATCTTTACTATGACCTCAAACTGTAATTAGGAGTAAATTTACTATTCCAATGTTATATTTGTGGTCAGTTTTATAGTAAAAATCGATGTAGTTGATTTGAGCCTGTGATAAAATGTGTATGTGTAATAGGTTAGTCAACATATTGAATTCTACAGTTTAGTGAAAGGGTGTCATATTACAAACTATTTTATATTTTTCAGCACTACTGAAATCATGTTATGACAATAAAAAAGGAGACAAAATGCCATTTTTAAACACTAACTTCGATGGATAAAAAAACTGATTACCTCTGGTAAACATGTATTGTAAAATAAATATTGCTATATAGCTTACGACGATACTAAACTAAAGTAACAAAAAAACTCGAGTCAATTCTATAAGTACTAAAGAATTATAATTGCTGCAACCACTCACCGGGTTTCTACCAAGAGACTGCCATGAGAAGTGGAGTGCCGTAATGTTGGCTGGTACAGGAACAACAAAGTTCATTGCGTAAGTGTTAACTACACCATCTCGTACGTAGAACAGCTCTGAAGATAGACCTGCAAACAAATTAAACATCATTTGAATTTAAAAATTAAGTTTCATTTCATTAAGTTATGTGAAACAAATAGTTTATTGGTGGGTTGTGTGCGAGGAGCCTTTAAATAGTTTAGCCTTTAGTTTGGGTTAGCGTATTGAGCAGGTGCGAAGAAACGGATTTTTAGTGCGGATTTATTTGGGGGTTTTAGACCGCTTTACTTACAAATTTTCCAGGGTTTATTTTGTGAAATGTCATTTGGTTTCACGCCCAAACCATAATAAATTCCTTTTAGCGAATTTCCCTATAGGGAAGTAGCTATTACCGTAGGTCTCATGGTAAGACCTAAGCCCGGGACCGATTTACTTTTTCATTTTGATGTCCCCAGAGGCCAAAAACACCATTCGTTCAAATTTTTATATATCTATATATAGATATATATATATATATATATATATATATATATATATATATATATGTGTCCATCCGCACGATAACTTGAGTAATTTTTGTCCGATTTTGATAAAATTTGGTTTGAAGGTGTAAGGCAGGATAAACTTGAATGAGTTCGCGAACCAGCATGATCGGACTATGGGAACGGGGGTTTATGGGGGGTTTTATGGGGTAAAAATAGGTTTTTCCCATTTTTGACCCTAAAAACACAAAATTTCACAATTTCTTTTTAAACCATTTTGTAGAGCTTAAAAAAACAAATAATTTAGTATATTGAAGCGTTATTATGCGCCTAATTGTTACGGAGAAATTTCAAAAAAATTGTAATTTTAAAATTCCCTTGTTATTCTTATGGAGAATAAGTCAACTGTTGTAGTTTGCTTGTTTATGAACATATTTTGATCAAATTTGGAAAATACATTAATTTCTTACTAAACCATAGTACCTTTTCATATTTTACATTAAAAAAAAACTTTTTTACCCTCCCTGTTGCAGCAAACCTAAGTACTCATTAAACTAATTCTGTTTAAATAGGGAATAAATGTGATATTTTTAAGGAGACAATTTAGTTTAAATCTAATCAGGCAGATGGAAATTCGCTAAGTCTGCAGGTTTGCTGCGGCGGGGGTATTTTTTTTAGAGTTTACTCTTTAAAAACTGCTTCGCTTTGTCTTCAACTCGTCACATACTAACACTTTAAGGTAACACAGTAGTAAAAAATAAAAATAAAAAACTATTTTTTTTATAATTAATTCTAGTTTAAAATTTTATCCTGAATCCATAGATACCAAATATGTTATATAATAAAATTTATTTGATAGATTTTTTGTCATTTATTATAAATCTTGCACAGCTGTTTCAGTGATCGCATGACAGCGGCTAAGGCTTTATATGCAAAAATAAAAATAAAATACTGTATTTTTTTATAATTAATTCTAGTTTTAAATTTAATCCTGAATCCATAGATACCAAATATGTTATATAATAACATTTATTTGATAGATTTTTTGTCATTTATTATAAATCTTGCACAGCTGTTTCAATGATCGCATGACAGCGACTAAGGCTTTATATGCGATTTACCGAAAATTTACTTTTTTCTTCGTTCGGTACATTTTTTTACACATTTATGAACCAATGAAAGTGAAATTCTTTACAGGCCTTCTGTGTATATTAACAAATAATAATAGGAAGTGAAATTACAAAATATTTGATACAACAAGTTTTAATTATTTTTTTATTTAAAAAAACGTGATAAAATATTTATGTTTAAAAAGAATTCATAAAAAAATTATTTTTGACTTTAGAAAAAAAGTGGTTCCTATTATCGTTGAGAAAGGTGTGTAAGACAATGTATAAAAATTTTAGGTTGCTAGGATAATTTTTAAAGAAGTTAGGTGTACCAAAAAATTGTGAAATTAACATGGACGGGATAGGGACTACTGTGTTACCTTAATTTATGTTCGAAAATGTTCCTGAGGTGAAATATATTTGCAATGGAGTTGTGAACTATGCCACAAAAAAGAAATGAATTTTTTGAAATCTAAGAACTTTTGAATGAATCTATCACATATTAAATTATTAAAATATGTGTATTTGAAGTAAATAAGATGACAGTGTGATTCTATTAACAGTAAAATTTGTATATTTAACAATGTACCAACATTTTATGAATGTATGAACACTTAGAAAAATAGAACTAGGTGAAATTAAATGTATTTTTAAGACGTCAAAATATTTTATTCACGGTAATTACTACTTAAACGTTAAAGGTTCCATGAATTAAGAGGAAGAAAAATACGACAAGGGCTTGATAAACTTGGTAAATGACAAGCTAATTAACATAAACAAAGACATCTAAATGGAAAGGACTGGGTGGTGGGGGGAGGTTTATGAGCTACTGGGGATGGGGAAGTCGTAAAGTTCACTACCCTTGCTCCTGTGATAACTTAGTTTCTTGTTTGATATTTCAGTGTTCCGCTCCTCCTGTATGTATTTTGGAAATAAACAAAGGTAGTAAATTTCGTGCTGTACTTCTTCATTAGCCAAATTCAATAAAATCTCTTGGGTTTTGTTTAGTATTTTTTCCAGAGTGTTCTAAATGAAAATTAGATTGTTGCCTTGTAAACTAATTTTGAGATTTAAAATCTCCGTAGGGGTAAATAAATAGGTTAGTTTCAGTGTGTTATCTGAAAAATGAATCACAATCATAAAAAAACTACATGTATTATAAAATACGTTTATTTGAAAATTAAGTGTTCATCTGTCCCAATTCATGTGTCAATTTCTTCTCATAAAGCCGCATATACTCAACACAATAAATGGCTAACACTATATTCATGCATTGGTGAACATTTTAATATAAATTGACTGTTGTGACAAATATTTTATAGTTTTTTTTGTAGTTTAGTAAAAATTTTTATTATATACGATTATATTGAGTTTATATTAATGAAATATAAAGGTGCTAAGTACATAACTAAAACTATTTTTTGTATACTACACATTTATTTACATATGATATTATTTTTGTTACACTTTATAACATTTTAACTTTTATTTTTTGAAATTTTTAGTCTTTACTGATAAATCAAATATACACCGAACAACACAATATAATACGTATTAATTACCTACATATTGATTTACATAAAACATAAAAGTACCTAAGGAAATTTCATATCTAAAATGATTTATATGACTCAACTTTGATTTTAATTTTAAAAGCTTGTAATTAATCAAAACCTTTTCACAAATTAAAATCCTCTTAAAGTAAGACAGTTAATAAACAGTTAAACTCCGATTGCCTTTACAGTTGCAAAAATTAACATAAAAATAATATTGTAATCATCTCCATTAAAGTGAAAAGGAAAGTTAAGAAACTGACAAGAAGGTCAAGTCTCAATGCTAATTTTGTACGCTTTGCATAAATTTGCCGGAGACGAGATGAAGGGAATAATGAGCTGCTGAGTTTGCGAAGTTGTCAAATAACAGCTAATTTACATAGAGCAGCAGGCCAAGGGGGGGCATAAATGAGAAAGAATATTACCTGACATAAGTTTCGTTTTATTACGAAACATAACTCATCTGAGTTAGAAGCTTTATAGAACTTGTTTAAATATTTATACCAACTTATTTTGGCTTGAAATAACAAAAATTCTATAATTGCGTTATAAATTATATTATGCTTTTCTGAAAAGTTTTATTCACTTTTCAATAAACTTACATGTACCTTAAGTCAGTAGTCGTCATGCCCAAGGCTTACCTATTTACCGACGGGCTGAAATATAAAGCCTGTTTTAACCAATAAAAAAATGCTATTGCTATGTTATGGAAACTGATTTTGTATTTAATATGCATTTATGTTTTAAGAAAGTAAGCGGGCAGATGATTTTGCGGCCCTAGGGATGTAAAAACTTGCTCGGTCCCCAAATAACGATGACAACTGGCATGGCCAGCAAAAAGTAACTTTCAACCACCAATTAACGTATGTAAAACAGCTAAAAACTTCATAGCGTGATGAAAAGTTATTTAATTCCTTTTAAATATGAATACTCATAAGGTTAACTGGGAAACTCTATACGTCTATATGTTAATCGGGAATGTAAGCTATCAACATACCAAATTTCAACAAAATCCGACCTGTAGTTAATGCGTGATTGAGCTTCAAACACACAAACTTTCACATTTATAATATTAGTATGAAGTATGATTTTTACCATATTTTTCTTATTATATATTTTTACTATTTAGCAAAAATATTTTGTATGAAAAAACATTAGATAACAATCATTTTTAATTACTGCAACCATTATTTAAGATAAACCAGTATATTACTAAGTTTTATGAGATACCAGCACATTCTCAAAAGAATTTTCAAAAGCTTCTATAGAGGATAACGAGTCTAATGATGTTATTAACTAAAACATCATCCCCGAAGGCTGAAAGCTCCAGTAACAGGTGTGAAATGCAAGGTATGAACATCCTCAGGGAGCATCATTATCGTTGTTAGGTAAGCTCGGGTTGCCACGGTAATGAAGACAGTGATAACACTGAAATATGTCGGGCTGACAACTCACATCCAACCCCTCATATGTGATAAGAGCTATAATAAGACCACTTATTACTATATACTGAATATCACCAATTCGTTTAAGGACTAGAACAATAATTCTTATACAAAATGCAAGTTAAATCTCATTGTAATAATAGCTTAAGGTAAGACATACCGAAAAATCCGAACACTAAATAAAACCATTTGTGATATAATCTATGATATTATCTGGTGGACAAATATTATAATAATTTAATTTGATCACATGTGACAACGGCTACAAAAATTAAACTATATTAGATGTTTCTTCGCTCATTTACCATTGTTAATAAACTTTAACACAAATACATAACATTTAACTAGCGAAAGTTATTTTTCTGTCAAATGTAATAGGCAACTTAAGTTTTTAAGTCTATAATACCGTATATCTATTCTCTTAAAATATCGGATTTGATATACACAGTGAGTCGAGGGCAATAAATATTTGGACAATACAAACTAAATTTCAAGTTTCG